AGGTGTGATGGAAGGGTATGCCCTTCCCAGATGACAAGCACCTGGTAAAGTGGTTCAGGGATCCTCACACAGTAGACTTCTCAGTCCTGGCTTCATGTAGCCAGAGCTGAGAGAGGGAAAGGAGGCTATTTCCCTAATAATCTCCCCTGGAGCTTGATCCCTATATCTGATTGGTGGATTCCCTGCTTCTCCCCATATTTGGAGAGGGGCACCTGTAGCTGGGAGCCTGAAGATGTGCAGGATGCTGGAGCTGATGTACCCATAGGAGCATCAGGCCACATTGGGACCTCACCAGAGCAAGATAAATACTACTTATCTCCAGTTCACTGATGGAAAGTGGGTGCTCAGAGACGTGAATGGGCTTATCCAAGGCCTTGAAGAAGCAGGTGCCAGAGCCAGGGCTGCAGCCTAGGTCTTCTGGCTCCCGGGCTCTTTCCACAAGATGGTTAGGTGCCTCCCACCCCACCCTGCCAGTCAGGGGGCCTGAGGCCCTGGCTGGGCTGACATTCCGGAGGGTCATTTTAAAAAAGTGCATGAATATGCATTGGGCAGCAGCACAAGGAATATTCTGGAGATGCCCCTTCAGAGGCCTTCCAGGCTCCAAGGTCTGCCTTGGAGAAGGTATTTCCCGGAACAGCCTCTAGAAGGGACGTTCATTCTAGCCGTAGGGGAATCCGGTCTTGGATTTCCTCCTTGTTTAACCCTTTGGCACCATCCCTAGCCCGCTCTCTTGCCTTTCGTCTTTCCCTGGGAGCCCCTTCCTCCTCCGTTTCTTGGAGAGCTCTTTGAAATCCCATCGAACCATGCTTCTCACCCCCACGGACCCGTGCACACAACATCTTAGTAGTAGGACAAGTCTAGACTATAAACATCTAGTAACTTAATTGGCAGTGATTCTAAGGCCCGCCTTCTGGAAGGAAACAGTATCATTGCCAGCATCTTTAGTCAATCATCAGATGTTTATTGAGTGCTTGCTCTGCGCCAAGCACCTTGCTGGGTGGCATGAGAAACACTCAGAAGAAGACCGCAGTCCCTAGCTAAAAGAATTTACAATCTAGTTTGAGAGGAAAGGAGGAAAGATAAGGGTGCAAAGGCCGCAGCTTCAGCCAAGATTTGTTCCAGGGAGAGGATGGGTGACATTTGGCAAGCTAGACTGGAAGGGCATCCCAGCAGGTCTGCGTCATGACAGAAAAGAGGATTTCCATAGGCAGAGGGGTTGGGGTAGGGAAGGGCATCCCAGCAGATTTCAAGTGGAAGAGCTGGAAAGGTTGAGGTGTTGGCCTTGGGCTTGTGAGAGGTATGCATCTGGCAAGTGCAGCGAGATCTGTCTGAAAAGAAGGGCTGAAACAGGTCTCAGGAACTGGATCACTAAAATTGCTTGAAATGGCATCATGGACCAAACTGTGCTTTACTGCACAGTGTGGGCGGCACCTAATTCTCCACTGAGGCCCAGGGTGAGAGGTCTAGCTTATCAATGGCTGAGCAATCCACAAAGCCTCGGGGGTAGCTGTTGGCTTGGAATGGATTCAGTGGGACTTTGGTGATGTGAGTGTTGTCACAGACAAGGCGTGAGAAGGATATTTTCTGTAGAGAGTCCCGCTGCTTCTCAGTGAAGACCCCAGGGTTCTCCCACCAGAACCTGCAGAGACAGAAGCACAGTCTGTCCATATAGCCAGCTATTGACCCCTGCCTTTCCTGCCCAAGGGGAAGGAAGGAGGTCACCGGGAACATGCTGAGGTCTGGGTTAGTCCTCATGGGGACATGGGGACACTGACCTCGGAGAAGGGTCTCCCCTTCCCTCCACTCCCGCTGAGGTTTCACTTGCCTGTCTCCATCACGAATCTGCTGGAACTGCTTGCCCAGGATGCAGGCCAGGAGAGGCCCCACCCGGCCCCCTTCTACCAGCGGCTCGGCAATGCCCCCAATCCAGATGTCAATGTTGTCAGGGGTCCCGTAGAGATCCAGTAACTTCTTCGCTAGCAACTTGTTCTTCAGCACGGCATCCAGCTCTGCCAGTGTCTGGGGCTGTGACAGGTCACAGAAGCCTCTCCAGGAGTTGTACCCTAGAGTGAAGAGACTGGAGCTGTCTCCTTCCAAGGACTTCTTGCCCATAGCCCCCTTTGAGGACATACCTACTCCAGCTCCATCAGCCCTAGAAAGTCTAGACTAATAGTCTCTGGGATGGGGTTCCATTGTTTTCTACATGAGGTACTTCAGTCTTGAGAGGGCTAGCAGTTTATGTGGGTCCAGGCACTATTCTAAGCAAATATGTAAACTGAAGAACAGAGATGTCAAGTAATTTGCCTTAGGTCACATAACTAGAAATGACATAGGTGGGATTTGAACCCAGGCGTACTGGCTCTTAATTACAACATTAAATTGCCTTTCATGGGTACCAAAAAAAGGCCCCGTAGTCATCGGTTTCTCTCTACTCTCCTTTTCTTAATATTTTCTGGGCTTTTACACTAGTTGGTTGGAGAGCTCCTTTTCAGATGAGGAGCTCCAGGATGGCAGCAGATATGTTCTCTTGTCTCTGTGTTAGGGAGAATGGAGGATTCCATTTCACAGATGAGCAAGGTGAGTTTTAAACACCAGCATCTCTGCCTTCTGTTTTAGAATGGATCTGATCCTCAAGATTATAGAAGAGAGCCCTCCGAAACTCCAAAAAGTAGCTAAAAGTTCCCCAGCCCAGGCCAGACGCCAGGCCCACTCACCAGGCATCCCATGGTCTCGGCAACGCTGTATGTTGATGGCAGCCAGGTCAAAGCCATGGATCTTGTGAGTGGGCTGGAAAAGCTTGTTGCGCAGCTCTCCTGTCATCATTTTATTCTGATTCATCGACTTGGACTTCTTGGCCAGTAGGCCCCGCACCAGAGGGTCAATTCCACCTGCAAGGGAGACCCAGAGATCATCCTGGGGACAGGGGTAGGGTGGGAACATCTTCCACTGCTGATCCCTCCCTCCACCAGACATTTTCTCTCTGGTGGAAGTAGGGCCGCTGAACATCTCAGGCTGGAAGCAGGGAGAGAAAAGCACAGTGCATCCTGCAGGCTGAGCTGGGGCCCGGGGGCGCGGGGTGGGGATGGGGGTCGGAGTCCAGACTGCCTGCCTTGGGGGTGGAAGAAAGGGCCATTCATGGGATGATGGCACAAATATAAGCTTCAGGATTTTTTCTGAGTTCTAGTTCAGAGAGTTGGCTCCTTCTCTTTCTTGAGGAAGGTTGCAGCATGGGAAGAGGTAGCAGAAATCTATGGAACATGGTCCTGGCTTGTCAAGCCTTAAGTAAAGCCAGTTTCAACACAGCCCGATCTAGGATAAAGGGGAGCTGGGTCCAACCTTTGGCACTTGATGGAGATGGAAAGACTTAAAGGGTAGCAGGAAAGAGCAATTTATTTACCAAACCCATGAATTCTTCCTACAAGAGTCAGAGAAGCCTGAGGCAAGGAAGAGAGGTAGAGAAAACCTGGCACCTTAGAGGCCAGAGGAAGAAAGAAAGGATCATAACTAGTATTTATTGGCCACCTCCTGTGTGTCAGGAACTATTGCAGGGTGCTCTACATGCATATCTCACTTAATTTTTTGTATTCCTACTGAGATAGGTACTATTATTATCCTCATTTTACAAATGAGGAAATTGAGGCTCCGTGGGATGAATTCTCTTGCCCAAGATCACACAGGAAGTGCCTGGAGTCTGACTTCCAAGCCAGGTTTCCCTGGAAGCAAGCTGCAGAGTGAGACAGCCAGGTGACAGCACTTCCCTGAAAGAATATACCATCTTTGACCATCCTCCAGGTATTGAAGAAGAGGGTGTGCAGAGGGAGCTCTGGTTCTGGACCCCATGGCTGATAGTTCTCATCCAGGCGGGACATAGTAGAGGGGACCTCCAAGTGGCCAAAGCGTAAGGCAAAGGTGAAGACATTGGAAATTCGGGGGTCCACAGACTCGTTGTAGCCTCGGTATGGAGGGACCCACTTCTGCATCTCGACACCTAGCACGATGGGTAGGTAGTCCCTAAAGGTGATAATCTGGAAGGAGAAACAAGTCATGAGGAAAGGGTGTGAGGAGACTTCAACTTCTGCAGAGTGAGGCTGGAGAGGAGCTGCAGCCAAGAGGGATGAGCAGTGAAAAATCAAGGATGGCACATGGACAGCATGTGTGCCCAGTTCTCATTCCTATGACCCTGGCAGACATTACTAATTGACCGCGAACACTCTTTACACTGATCTCTCGTGATTTGTCTTAACATAGGCTCTAGTAATCAGTCATTTGAATTTGGCACTTGAGATGTACTCTCTGCCATCTTTGTTCGAAGTTTATGAACTTGAAGCAGAAGTGACAGTCCTATTGTGTCAATTTAACAAAACAATGTCAGATTACTAAACTTTTCCCATAGGCCAGGGCAAGAGGAGGGAAGTACCACAGGAATGGTTCACAGGGTGTCCAAGGGAAGTTCATTCAATCCAGTTCTGAAAGAAATGCTGTACCATGGAGAGATCAGTTTCTGGTTCTGTTTTACTCAAAACAATGAATGAACATACATTGAGAAAATTTTGGAAAAAAAATTATGCTGTCACATAACCCAATAATTATATTCATTTTTATTCATTCTAGACTTTGTCTACCTTAGACACATCTTTACAGAGTTGTAGTCCTAGAGAATGCATACTTTTGCATTCTGCTTTTTCACTTAACACTTCTCACATTTCTTCCTAGCTCACTATTATTATGTAATTAATGTATATAATATTCTATTGCACTCATAGGTCCTTGTCTTACTGTTTTACTCTTAGGTTGCTTCCAATTTGTTCAGCAGCATAGACTCTGTGGATGTCATCCTTGGAGCAGGTGGTCTGCTCCTCGGGTTGTGGGAAGCAGCAGGGGACAGAACCCTGCCTCTGGCTACAGTAGAATGGCCCAGTTTGATGGCGTTTGATCTGAGGGGATAGGTGGGGTCATATGGGTTTTCATTTTCTACCATGTGCAGAAAAGCAGAGAAAACCCATCTGCAGAGAGAGCGTGGAGGGCAAAAAGAAGTGAAGACAGGAGCAGAGAGGAGTGTGGAACAGAGCGAGAGCAGCTGCCCTAATTCCAGATGGTTACCAGTCGCTGGCTCTAAGCCTTGCTGAGGTCCTACTACACTGCCTGCCCTGGTGTTCCAGGAGAAACTCTTAAAATGTCGCTTCCATTTGACACGGGTCTAGGGTTAAACCAATACTGAACATCTGAATTAGTCTGAGTGGGTTTCTTTTTCTTATGGTCCAAAAGATGTTATAGATGGAATTGTGTTCCCCTCAAATTCATATGTTGAAGCTCTAACCCCCAGTGTGACTCTATTTGGAGATCAGGCTTGGAAAGAGGAAATTAAAACTAAATGACATCATAGAGGTGGAGCCCTGATCCAATAGGACTAGTGTCCCTATAAGAAGAGTGAGAGACACCAGGATGGTGTATGCACAAAGGAGCGACCACGTGAGGACACAGAGGAAAGGCTGCCATCTTGCAATCCTGGGAAAGAGGCCTCAGGAGAAACCGAACTTGCTAACACCTTGATTTTGGACCTCTAGCCTCCAAAACTGTGAGAAAATAAATCTGATGTGGAAGCTACCCAGTCTGCGATATTTTATTATGGTGGCCTGAGTAAACTAATGTAAGGCTTAACGCACATAATCTTTGGGTAGATACTTTTCATTCTTTAAATAATTTACTACAAACATCTACAGCAGCAAGTTTCCTGGATCCGAAAGTTTTTTAAATAAATATTGAGTTCTGGAAATTTTGAGAATAAATGGAAATAGATCTCTTCAATGGTTAAAAATATGTGTGTGGGGCTTCTGGTTCCAGAACGAGATGGAGCAGACTCATTTTTCCTCAGTCTTCCCCACTGTATATAATTAAACATCCTGGAAACTGTTCGCCGAACAACAATAAATAGACTCAAAAAGCTGTTGAGAAGATGAACTGGCCAAGGACCTCAGGACTTGAGGAATGACAACATGGAGAGTTCTTACATACCCCAGACTGGGTATGTGAGAGGCTGGCAACCTGGAACCTCCACCAGGAATAGACAAAAGAAGCGAAGAAAAACCTTTTATTTTCTTTTTCTCTAGAGGACTGCGACAGGAGAAATTCATCAGATATCTAGTAAAGAACCCCCAAACTCACTTTACAACCCACACCCTTAGCCATCCCGGCCCCCAATCCACAGCCCAGGCTGACGGATGGTCTGATCTTGCCTGCAGTATTAGCAGCAGTGAAGCCCTGTGTCTCTCTGTTCTTTACTCAATGGCATAAGGAGACCCAGGTGCTGTGGCTTCTGCTCCTCTAGAAAGTTGCTCACAGCAGAAGGCAGCCAGGAAAGTACCTTCCTGTGCTGCAGACAGCGTCAGCAGGGGCTGAGTGAGAATTCTGGAAGCACTAGAAGAATGAGGCCAACCAGAATGACATTGCATGGGCTCAGGAACTAAACTGTCATTGGAACAACAGCCCATAAGAGTATAACAGAACCTACATGCCAAACCTAAACAGGGGAACTACGTGTTTAAATAGAAGATTTAAGTAGGATCAAGAGTCTCCTAATAACCAAAATGTCTAGAATACCACTGAAAATCACTCATCATACCAAGACCAGGAAGGACACAATTTGAATGAGAAAAGACAATAGTGGCATGAATCAGGTGATGGAATTATCTGACAAAGATTTTAAAGTAGCTGTCATAAAAATGCTTCGATAATTAATTACAAGTTATCTTGAAAGAAATGAAAAAACAGAACATTTCGGCAAAGAAGTAGAATTTATTTTTTTAAAACCCCTAATTATAGAACTGAAAATATACTAACTGAAATTAAAAAAAAAAAAATCTTGCTGAATAGACCCAGTAGTAGGGTGGAGAGAATGGGATAGAACTGAAGACAGATCAATAGAATTTAGTCAATTTGAACAGAGAGAAAATAGACTAAATAGGTTCACATAAATACGCCCAAATAATATTTGATGAAGGAGCAAAAGCAATTCAGTAGAGGAAAGATAGCCTTTTTAATAAGTGGTGCTGAAGCAATTAGACATTCATAGGCCAAAAAATTAACCTCAACCTAAAACTCACACTTTATACAAAAATTAACCCCCAATAGATCATGGACTTAAATGTTAAACATAAAACTATAAAACTTCTAAACCCAAAACCAAACCAAACCAAAACAAAACAAACCAAACAAACGAACAAACAAACAAAAAAAACATATTTCTTTGCACTAGTTGAATCGTTTTTTGGGGCGGGTGTGTGTGGGGGGGTTCTTTCTGAAACTGGACACCAAGAGCACAACCCATGAAAGAAAAAAAATTTGATAAATTTGAACTCATCAAAATTAAAAACTCTTGGTTTGCAAAAGACTCTGTTAAGAGAATGAAAAGATAGACTGGGAGAAAATATTTTAAGTCACGTATCTGACAAAGGACTTGTATCTAAATATATAAAGAACACTTAAAACTCAACATTAAAAGACAAACAATCCAATTTGAAAATGGGCAAAATATATGAACAGATATTTATTGAAGAAGATATACAGATGGAAAATAAGCACATGAAAATATATTCGATATGATTAGCCATTAGAGAAATGCAAATTTAAACCACAATGAGATATCACTACATACCTAACAGAAAGGGTTAAAAAAAATAATGATGACACTAAATAAAGACCAGGAGATAGAGAAATGAGATCATTCATACAGTGCTGGTAGGAATGTAAAAATGGTACAGCCACTCTGGAAAATGGTGTGGTAGTTTCTTTTAAAATTAAAAATGAACTTATTTACCATATGACCTAGCAATTGCACCCTTGAGCATATGTCCCAGAGAAATAAAAACTTATTTTCAAGTAGAAACCTATGTACAAATGTTCATGGCAGCTTTATCCGTAATAGCCCCAAACTGGAAACAATCCAAATGCCCTTCAATAGGTGAATGGTTAAACAGACCATGGAATACCACTCAGCAACAAAAAGGAATGAACTACTGACTGGGTGAACATGCAGTGACTTGGATGAACCTCAAGAAATTATGCTGAATGTAAAAAAGCAATCTCAAAAGGACACATACTGCATGATTTCACTTATGTAACATTCACGAAATAAGATGGAAAACGGATTAGTGGTTACCAGGGGATGGGAATATGGGAAGGGGAGGGTGGATGTGTCTATAAAAGGGTAGCATGAGGGAGTCTCATGGTAATGGCAGAGTTAAGCATCTTTATTGTGGTGGTGATTACATGAAGCTACACATGTGATAAAATTGCATGGAGCTACACACACACACACACACGCACATACACACACACAAACATGCACAGAGACGATTGCATTTCTAACTGGTGAAATCTGAGCACTATGGTTTGTATCAGAGTTAACTTTCTGCTTTTGATATTGTACCATAGTTACGCAAAATCTTGGCACTGGGGGAAGCTAGGTGCATGTACATTTATTTACAACTTCTTGAGAATCGACAATTATTTCAAAATAAAATGTTTTAAAATTATGTACATGGTTAATACCAACACATCAACCTGTCTCTTCTAGTCAATCAGCCAATTAACAATAGCAATTGACTATGCCTATGACATGTGGATTAGGAGTAGAGAATTGAAAAATAAGATAATTTAATCAAAATAACCAGAATAACTGCTAGGTAACAGACCCAGGAGTGATGGAGCCTATGGTCCCAATGATGGCATCTGGGCAGGCGCACCAAGTGACCAATGTATGAATGACTCCGCTACTATGAATCCAAGGATGCATTTTGGGGCAGAGAAGCTGAAGAAATAGAAGAGAAGGTTTAAAGAATGAGACAATGGGAAAGAAGCAGCAGAGGAGAAGAAGGGGAAATGGAGGTGTGGAAAGCAGAGGATACGGCAGCGAGCAGAGGCCACGAGACGAGGCAGCGAGCAGAGGGCAGAGCCAGGAGCGGAAGCCAGGCCAGCATGTGAGGAAGGCTCCTGGGCCTCTGTACCTGCACGAGGGCTCCCAGGATTTTCCGGACTTCCTGGTAGAGCTTCTCTCCATCCCACTGAGGGTTGAGTCTCTTCAGTTCTCCAGCCAGCCGGTTGTGCTCACGGAGAAAGAGAGTGTGGGAAGTGGCCAGCAGGATATGCTCCGAGGCTCGGGAATCTCCTGAAAGCCCAGAAGGCAGGAAGGTGGGTTCCCTCTGAGCAGCCCCAGAACCCAGGAACCTGCACACAAAAAAATAAATGATGGTGCCCCAAAGGGACCCTCTCCTAAGCCCCTCCTGGCAGTCAACTTAAGGGAAGTCAAGTGGAGAGGGATCAGAGTGGGGACTCATAGGGTTGAATCTCAGCTCTACATGCACACTTTTTAGCTGTGTGATTCTGGACAAGTTACTTAACATTTCTAAGCCTCAGACTTCAGATCCATGAAAATGGGGATAATAAGGTCAACCTCACGAGACTGTGATAAAGACTATAGATGACATTAAAAATTAAATTTGGCTAATTAAGATCCCAACTGCCTTTAAAATGGAACCAAACAAATAAATGGGGGGACTTTTTATGGTGTGGAGCAACTTTGAAGGTTTCAGGAATGCAAGTTTGAGTGTAGGAGCCTGGATATTAAAGGGAGAAGAATCCGGAGGTTGGGGGGCGGGCCTTTGGGATGCGGGGAGGAGGAACAGGATGGGGAACAGTTAAATGGTAAAAGATCAGGTGTTTCACAAGGGGACTTCTTGTGTTCTCTAATCATCAGGAAAGTCTGTTAAAGTCCGGGTCTTAGTGGAGATTTTTGTGGAAAACAGGAAAGGATACAGTTTTGTGTCTGGACTGATGTGAGATATTTGTGAACACAGGATCTAAGAGATCTACCAAGAGACTGAGATCTACAGGACAGCCTCTACCATGTCAGAGTGGACAGGGGGTTTGTCCTGGGAGAGTGGATTTGGAAGAAGGAAGGCCTCCAGGAGCTAAAGGCAGAGAGGACAGGAGGGCACGAGCCCCCGGAATGAACAGAATTGGGGGACTTTGGTTGTGCACCGGCTGTATGGAGTGTGGGCTTTCGGCCAAGTTTATAAAATGTCTTAAAATATACATTTGTTTTAACCTAGAATGTCTTCCTGGAGGAAGTTATCCCGAAAAAATTATTAAAATGGGCACAAAGATTCCTCAACAAGGATATTCACTACCTAAACACAACAAAACAATGCAAGTCACAGAACAACTGGAAATGACTTAAATGTTTCCAAATAGGGTTGATAAAATAAATTATGGTAACATACGATATGGAATATCAGGCAGCCATTAAAAACCATGTTGTAGAAGAATATTTAAGTTGCGATATATTAAGTGAAGACACTGGGTTATAGAGCATTACTTATAACCCCAATTATGTAAAATGATGTGGAACTATATAATAGAAAAAAACCTGGAAAGATAGGCATTAAAATGTTAATTTTTCAGTGAGTGGTAAGATTTTGTTGATTTTCTTATTTTCTTTGTGCTTTTCTGGACTCCTTTAATTTTTTTTTTTTTTTTTTAAGTGAACACATGTTCTTAGATTCTGTATTCATCTGGGCCCTTCTGCCAGTCCTGAACCAGTGCCAGAGGCAGTGCTGGCTTGGTGTGCATTTTGCCAGAAGACGATGAGGAGAAGCAGTGGTAAAGCCTTCCTGGAAGCTGCCTAGCAGCCTGGTGAAGTTGGCCTCCCTCTGCCCTCAGTCCCCTTGTCCTCGGGCCCCCCTGTTCCCGGCTTCTACTCACCTGCCAGGAAGCAGGGCACACGGGCAGTGGTGTTGATGAACTCACAGGGGCTCGGCTTCTTGTTGTCAAAGGGCAGGTAGGCCAGCCCATGGTCTCTGTCCTCCTGGTTGATGGCCATGAGGCCCAGGGGGCTGCTGAGGTTGCGGAGGCGGCTAGCCAGGTCGGGCTCGGGGCCGTACACGAAGCTGGCGTCCAGGAAGGAGGTCAGAGCGTTGATCTGCTCTCGGGCCAAGGACTGGTCAGGTAGAGGGGAACAGACAAACCCGGCTCGGAAGAAAGGCATGCATTTCCCTTGAGTCTTCACCTTGGGGTCACTGGGTGGGAGCTACAAAGAGATTGAGGGTAGGTGACTGGGCAGAGGTGGTACAGCTGGGCCCTGGCAACCACTTCCCAGGTCCGGTCTAGATGCAGCTAGCAAAGATGCTGATGGGGCCCTCTTGGGATCCTGGTACCAGACACTGACTCCAGACACCTCCTGCTGATGCTACATATTCTGGGCTCATGATACCCTGAAGTTCACTATATCCCACTGTGTGAAAGGGCTGAGAAGAATCATTCAGTCTTTCAGAGACAGGCTTCCAAATTTTGGGTGGGGA